GTTTAAGCTCGTCAACACCCCCGCAATGTGAGTTTGATATTTCCCACTCACCATATGTCAAAGAAGCGACTGGCAAGCGCTCCTTTCCTCTGAATTTAAGGCCGCAGACTCATAGATCGAACTCAAAACACCTGATATTGACACCGAGACGATTATATGCCAAAGAAATAGGTATAACCAGAACCCCTCAACTGAGCATAGCAGCTGCAAAAACGCCGTGGAACGTATCAGCTAAATTAGCGGCTGAAAACGCAAAGAACACACCGGAAAAAACGGAAAAGGAGCTTGTCCCAAAGTGCTATCACAAATACTTGGGAATGTTCAAAAAGAGCAATGCAAACGTCTTGCCCCCTCACCGTCCATACGATTTCAGAGTCGGTTTACTTCCAAACGCGGTCCCACAAGCTGGAAGGGTAATACCCCTCTCTCCAAAGGAAGATGAAGTACTTTGTGAGATGCTGGAAAAAGGTCTAGCTAATGGAACAATTTGCCAAACCACGTCACCATGGGCCGCACCTGTACTATTCACAGGGAAAAAATATGGCAACCTCTGGCCTTGTTTCGATTACCAACGACTGAATGCTTTAACTGTCAAAAATAAATACCCTTTACCACTCACAATGGAGTTAATAGACAGCCTATTGGACGCTGACAGATTCACGAGCCTGGACAAGAGAAATGGATACAATAACTTGCGTGTACGAGAGGGTGACAAGGCCAAACTAGCATTTATCTGCAAAGCTGGACAGTTCGAACCTTTGACAATGCCATTTGGGCCTACAGGTGCTCCTGGATTTTTTCAATTTTTCATTCAGGACATACTCAAGGCTCACATAGGACGAGATGTAGCAGCATATCTGGATGACATCTTAATTTATACAAAACCCGGAGAGGACCATGAGGCTAGAGTTAAAGAAATATTGGACATCCTCAAAGCGCAGAATGTTTGGTTAAAACCCAAAAAATGCAAATTTTCTCAAACTGAAGTATCCCACCTAGGATTAATCATATCAAAAAATCAGATTAAGATGGATGCCACCAAAGTTGAAGCCGTGAAGAACTGGCCAGTCCCACAAAACGTAACCAAAGTGCAAATCTTCCTTGGGTTTGCAAACCTTTATCACCGATTTACATCTCATTTTTCAAAAATTGCGAAGCCCCTGCATGAACTGTTGTAAAGTTTGAATGGACCGGACCTAGACAGGAAGCATTAGATTGCCAATCCGTATCGACCCTTTATTCTGGAGTGTGATTGCTCCGATTTTGCGTTAGGAGCAGTCCTATCCCAGGTGTCAGCGGACAACGACAAACTCCATCCAGTCGCATACTTATCAAGGTCTTTAATTCAGGCTGAACGTAATTATGAAATATTCAATAAGGAGTTATTAGCAGTTGTCAGTGCCTTCAAAGAGTGGAGACAATATTTAGAAGGAAATCCTGGCAAGCTAAGTGTAATTGTCTATACGGATCACAAGAACCTGCAGTCCCTGATGACTACAAAGGAACTGACACGTCGTCAAGCCAGGTGGGCCAAAGTGCTGGAAAGGTTTGACTTTGAAATCAGATTTAGACCGGGAAAGCAATCAACAAAGCCCAATGCCCTATCACGCCGACCTGATCTAGCGCCGAGCAAGGACGAAAAACTGACATTTGGACAAATGCTGAAGCCACATAACTTTCCGAGTGATGCTTTTATTGACGAATTTGATGCTCTTGAATCATGGTTTGTACCAGAAAGCAAAGTTGATGGTGGGAATGAAGAAATCGAAATTGATATGACTGAAATTATGCAACTAGAAGATAAGGAAGAAGATGAAGAGTTAGCGTGCAATGACACTCAGATAATGGAAGAAGTGAAGAGAGTGTCAAAGGAAGATCCGAGAGTGAATGAGATCATGCAACTATACAAGGACATACGTCCTAACTCAAAGCACCTAGACGGATACTCAATGTCAAATGGTCTACTCTATTTCAGAGGATGGATAGTAGTGCCTAACAATGCTAACATGAAATTTCAGATCCTCAAGTCGAGACACGATAGTCTGATGGTAGGACATCCAGGTCAATCAAGAACACTAGCCCCAGTCAAGCGCACTTATCACTGGCCTTCTATGAAGGCGTACGTAAACAAATACGTTGATGGCTGTCAATCATGCCAACGAGTGAAACCACGGACAACTAAGCAGTTAGGAACTCTACAACCCCTACCAATACCCAAGGGCCCGTGGATGGATGTGTGCTATGACCTAATAACAGACCTACCGGAATCAGAGGGGAGTGACTCAATCTTAACAGTAGTAGATAGATTGACAAAGATGGCTCATTTCATCAATTGTAAAAAATCTATGAAATCTGATGAACTAGTGACGCTGATGATACAGCACGTGTGGAAGTTGCACGGCACGCCTCAAACAATCACTTCTGACAGAGGAAGTGTGTTCATATTGACAATCACCAAACAGATCAACAAGAAATTAGGAATCAAAACTCAATCATCAACAGTGTACCACCCGCAAACCGACGGACAGTCTGAAATAACAAACAAAGCGGTGGAACAATATATTTGTCACTTTGCAAATTATATGCAAGACAACTGGGTTTCACTATTACCAACAGCAGAATTTTCCTATAACAATAACTTTCACATATCCATAGGAATGTCTCCATTTTGAGCTAACTATGGTTTTGATGCAAACTTCACAGGAATAGCGTCAACTGAGCAGTGTTTACCAACAGTGGAAGCAACACCCAAACCCCGCCGCGGAAAACTGGGGCAGCGCTGCGGCAGCGCGGGGGTCCTGCCGCACCCTCAGTCTGCTGAAGGTTCACTGGGATAAAACCACGCCGCAGCCCATTTTTTACTGGGGTCCAACCCGCCGCTGCCCCATTGACGGTACCCCAGGGGGAACCTAGGGGCCCATTGTGGCATGTACTGTAGGTGACTGTACATTTTCAGCCCCTGACACTTCCAATTGTTAGTTCAGATGAACAGTCACAACTCGTGTTTTCTGACGATTTTATTTAAAGATAAAAAATACCAAACCAACTCCACAAACCTCAGGAAAGAACTCAGCAACACAAATATTCTCTCAAAAACAAACAATCCTCATATGAAAAGTAAGTAACCCAAACTAATTTCTCCTTTAAACCTTGTTCCATTTAATCGAACTTAATCCATCTCTAATAGGCAACATAACCACATCAACTTCAGAATGATCCAAAATCTCCTCATTCCAATCACTTAAAATTTGACCATATTGATTAATGTTTTTGACAGAATCTTCACTGACATTTAATTTTGATGAATCATTTAATTCGATTGAAATGGTGAATATGTGGTAGCTTTATAGATTGTATTATTGATTATGGATAATAATTCATGATTTATGATTTCATTAAATTACTTTGAATATGAAGTTCTATCTGCATCAATTAGAATCTGTAAAATTAAAGAAAAGTCCAACAAAAAATGAATTCAGTCAAAAGAAAAAACATGAGTATTGATTTCATAAAAAGAAGTTCTAGCTTACCATATCAAAAGGTTCTTCACCATCAAGGTTCATTTTCTCTAAACTATCAAAAGCAGATCCAATCTTAACTTCAATCAACTTAAGGTTAGTATTCTAATCTAATGACTTTTTCAATTCCTTTAGTTAATGAAAATATTAAAGTCATCATACCTGTAAACATTGATTTCTAAAATCCTTTTAGGTTTGATAACAGATTTAGCATCATTTAAACAAATTGTAATTGTAGATTAAATGATTACAGTTGTACATTGAATGGCTTGCAAGGTAGATTTTTCTTGGTGTTAATTTCATTTTTTCAAATTTAGTGAAGAAACCCCAGTCTGCGGCGCGCTGCGATCGTCTCGAGCACGCCGCGGTCTCCTTGCAATTTTTTCTCACTTCGGCAGCGTTGCGGTGAGGTCCCTTCAAAACTGGGGTCAATTGCACCACTGCCTCTGTGGATCCAAAATCCGCCGCGCTGCGGCGGGGTTTGGGTGTTGGTGGAAGATTGAATACAACAAATCAACGAAGTTCAAGACGAACTTAAGTGTGCAATGGAAGAAGCTCAGGAGACAATGAAACTTTGGTTTGACAAGAAGGTGAATTTGACTCCGAAGTGGAAAGTGGATGAAGAAGTGTAGCTAAACAGTAAGCACATATCAACAACGCTTCCAACGGCAATATTCTCTCACCGTTGGATGGGACCTTTCCCCATAGAGAGCCAAGTGTCTACTAATGCATACAGATTGAGACTACCAGCGTCAATGAAGAAAATCCACCCGGTATTTCATGTGTGTTTATTACAAAAAGCAACAAAAAGTCAAATTGAAAATCAAGTACAATCACCTCAAGAACCAATAAGAATTCAGGATGAAGAAGAATACGAAGTGAAGAAGTATTAGACAAAAGGAGAAGAGGAAGAAAAATTGAATACTTAATTAATTGGAAAGGATATACACCGAAACATGATTCATGGGAGCCTGAATCAGGACTTATGAATGCACAGGAATTAGTCAATGAATTTAACCGCAAGTACCCATCAAGCGAATTCAAATCCAAACGGACAAGGAGAGTAAAGAGAGGATGAAGCTTTTTCCCGACGGGGTTTTTTAATGCCAATCCGGGGAAGATGTTAGACCCAGCAAGAGGGGGTTGGAACATAAAGGGGGGAGTGGTGTTATGAGCCCATAAGGATAATATGCTTGTATGCTACTATTGAGATCTCACTCTACTTGAGTCCTGCGAGTCAGAGATTTTACATTCTCACGTTGAAATCTTATTATAGTACAAGGACACCTTTTAGTAGACCCTTGATCGCCAACTCACAAGGTCCTAATAGCATCGGGCACACTGTTGAGGCTGTTAGGTAAGCTGCTTAAGGGTACCTAAGTGGGCCTAGGGTTGGAGGGGGGGTTGGAATAGCGCAATCCTAATTCAAATAAGGTTGTAAAAAACATTCCATATTGGCAATGCCCAATTGTATCTGATCAATTAACCACTCATGCGAAAATCTTGTTTGGTACTTTCTTCAATGGTTTCAGCCCCTGCGGCCATGGCCGCGCGAATTTCTTTGACAGAGGGTAAATGAAAGGTATTGGTTACTTTGAGCTCATCAAAGTAGTTTTGCCTGTCAAAGGTTTGTCTATCATACTTGTATACCAAGTTATAAAACCTAAACAATTGTCACAAAGTCCTGTTTCAGCTTGACTGTGGAAGATGGGTGTTTCTTATTGAATGACTTACGCCGAAGTATACTTCACACCTTCCCAACAAAGGTCAGCCAATTGGCAATCTATGCAAGCCCAAATGGAACTAGACCCTTTGCCAACCCGCATGAAGCGAGCCGCTTCTCTGCGCTGAAATTCCAGTTTTTTTAACAGTCCATGAGTGGTTATTAAACATTCAGGCCCAGTGAAAATGGTTTCCTTACAAGATATGCAATCCTAGCATGTGTGGTTATGTCGATAGCATTCCACAAAGAGTCAGTGTCAGGATGTTTCCACAAAGATTCAGTGTCAGGATGTTTCCCCACAGTTTTACATTGGGTGGCAACCTGTTGTAATACCTCATATCACTCGCTATTACATAAGTCTACTATCTTACTTATCACACCCTAGACTTAAGATTTAATTCCCTATGTCTCTCTTTCCTTGACACTTTCCCATTCTGACTCCTTAAGGATCTTTGACTGATCTCTTGTCATCGTCTCTTTGGAGTCAGTTCGTAAAGCAAATTTGTGTACTTTGGTTCTAGAAACCATTTCCACCACTTTTGTGGTGTTGAGTCCCAATGTGCCCTTTCCTTCATTTTGACCTTCAGTGAGGACATAAGAAGTCCTTACACTAAGGTACACTTTTGTTTTCCCAACAAGCCGCTAGTCCTTTTCACTACACTGGGTTTTATCCCCGCCAAGCCCAATAACTCATGGGATAAAGTTGAGTGCCCCAAGATGGCTCTTGCCAGGGTGATCGCCTTGGACTTTGGACACTTTTGCATGCAAATGGCTGATCATCCTGACATGGAAGACTTTTTGGCCTCACCTTGGCAACTCCCTGAGGTCCTGGCCCTTCAGATCAAAGCACTTACACAGGGCAAGCACTGTAGCACCATGTTGATGATCATGCTTTTGTACTTGTGTAACCTTGATCTTGAGAACATCACATCCAAGCCCTCATTTCTGTTCACCGCCTCCCCCCAAAGTCTTGACCCTCAGGCAAGAACCATGACAATATTACTGTTGAGATTCATTCAACACAAACATACAAGTTGAAGATCAATGCTTGTATCTAATTCCCAACCACATCCCATATATATATATTCGTACATCCTCATGCTGTCTTCTTTTCCTCATCTTTGAAAAGACAACTGTGAGTTGACTACTCCTTTGACTACATTCTATATCTTCACTAAAACACATATCAAACATTTTGTTCTTCGATTATAGTTTACTAGGAAATTAGCGGCAGAGCCGCCTTTCTATTTATCATCCTCAACCTTGTAGTTAAGACAACCTCTCCTGACACTTTGCTGTTCTTCTAGGAAAATTTTATGTGGTAAAGCTATCTTCCCTGCTACTTTCAATCCTGCCCTGATGCAGGTAATGAATTGCATACCTTTCTCATTATAAGTATCAATGATGTTCACTTAGAGCTAACTTAAATAGTGGTCTCACCAATCAACTATGTTGCCAACTTCTTTGATTCATCTTTCAAGTCTCTTTTTTTGTTTTGCTGCAAGAACCCTATATGGATTGAGGATCATATTGTCTATAAATTTGGATACCACCACCATCAATGATTGATAAGCTGTATCACAAGGATCACTTGATCATCAGTCTTAATGTCTAGATTGGGAACAATGAACTTAAGTCTTGCGTCAAGTATTATTGCTGTATATCATTAACGGTACTCAAAGTTGTGTATACTTTGCCGTGCATAGTTTTTTTGTGTTTTTTCGCAACTATAAACAACTTGGAAAAAGTATGTTTCTTGATTGAAGCTCAAAGATATGTACTTTTAAGCCAAAAACATAGTTTTCCCTGGTTGTGTGAAGTTGTGAAAAAAGAAAAGAAAACTATGCACAGCAAAGTATACACAACTTTGAGTACCGTAATTGAACTCATCCTTTCTCAATTCCTTGACTTGATCCTGCATCCTCTTTCAACACAGCTGCATGTATTTGAATGTGGCTCTTTTACCCAAAAAACAATTTATTTTACAATTTTAGATCTGCATAGAGTTCTTCTCCTTGATCAAAAGTTGATTTAAAGAGAAAAAACTTTGCACAACTCACTCATCATGACCATAATCTTGGTTTGATACACTGGCATTGAATTTGTAACTCAAATATGTCATCTGAGTCCTGCAGAGAGGATTATGTGTTGATTATGTTGAGTGAAATCGTCAAATGGGCAATATCAGAATGACATAATAAATGATTTCAAAGACTTGAGAAAATTATAAACATAATTCCCTGAGGGAACAGATTTTGAGTTGCAAGAGAGTTTTTAGTTGAGGATCGGTTGTAGATCATAGCAACATGGAGATTATTTCTATATAGATCTGATTTACCCACAAATGGAATTCAAGAGGATGAGTGCATTACACTTGGGGGCATGATGTTACAACTTTTAATCAATAACCTTGACCTCTTTGTGTATTCTTGAAAAGTTCTTTTTGTTTTCATGATGAATGATTTAAATCAGAAGACTGCTTCAATTGCTTTAAGTGAGGCTCTTTTGATGCAAAAGATGAAGTCAAATTGGAATAGCAGTAGCACAATTGTAATTGTTTAATTGTTTTGATATTGACTATGATGAAGCCAATCCTGATGACATCAGTTGACACAATTAGTGATTGTTGAGTGAGTATATTGATGTTGAAGGGAAAAATTTGTAATTGGAGTATTATGGTGAAGCAATTCTGAGTGAATGAATTGTGATAAGTATCAATCAATCCAGGGGGGTAATAAATACACGTTGATGGACTTGATGTGAATGAAAGCTTTTGGACAAATCACAGTTCTACATTTGCATAATCAAAGGTTTTTTTGAATCTAACAATTGGTTTTGTTAGAAATCATGAGTTGTATCTGATGAAGTCAGTTTGAAATTGTCATCAATCATTAGGTTTGGATATACTATTGTTTCTGGATTCCCTATGATTCCAATTTAAAAAAAATATCATTGGTATGCTGACTCTGAATGAACACGGTTTTGTAGATCTTTCATAGCTGCCACCGAGGTCCTGATTTGAATGAGTTACACTTAGTTTGATTGTACTTATTAAAGAGGTAAGAACAATACATACTTTATCAGCATATTTGAGTAATAATTCATTTCCACCTGGATGATCTGGTGCAAATAGATAGCCTGTAGGGTTGTATAATTTGATTGATGGATTGATAGTGAATTGGTAGTTGATTGATTGTTTATTGGTTCATTGGTCAAGTTGAGTTGATGAATAAGCGATGCCGAGTCAGTAAATGGGTTTCAAATCCATCAAGGTTTTTGAAAATGCAAACTCAACAATCGATTATAAACCTTTACATTGATTGAAACACAAAGATCTTCAAGACTATGATGACGAGCGACATCTTCAAGTAAAGAGATTCGATTTCTTCCTAAATCTTGTGGTTCAGGTGTTAGTTGAAACATATGTAATTAATTGCGGTTGTTGAGGTGAGTTAGGTTGGATTGTAATGGAATAGATTTTTTGCTTGTTTTGAGCATTGATTAAATTGGGTTGTGATGATTAGTTCAAAGAGAGAGTAAATTGAGAATAATTGACATAAACCAAGATGAAAATGAACATAAAAGACAATAATCGAGTCAGTAGCAAGGATTAGAGGAATGAGATTGTAGACAAAAAGCTTTGATGTCAAGCAATCAAAGGTGGTGGGACGTGTGTATCAGTTCGAGTGCGCTCGGAAGTTGAGCAAATTTCACATTCTGGTGGCAGAAGGCTGATCATTGATGATTGTACCTGTAGTCAATTAAGAGATCTGTCAGACTAACAACCAAGTAGCCATGACTGTCACCACAAAAGCAGGAATCAGATGAACGGATTGATGATGATAAGGTGATTTTTGTCATCAGTTTTAGAGTGGAAAGACAAATCTTCTGAAAGGGTGAAGGGAACGGGAGTGGATAGGAAATGTGGCAAGTATAAACTGTCACATTGGAGGGCAATATGGTGGCGAGTATAGTCTGTCAGTGGAGAGTTTGGAGTCAGTCATCAAGTGGCAATCGTAGTATAGAGTCTAGACCGCTATAGACCGCCACTTGTTTGTTCGGAATGCAGGTAGAGTGCATGGTGTCAGCAAATATGGATATGGAGATTGACACTTTGGCAATCATAAGCGAGGAAGCTGGCCTTCCTTTAACTTGAATGATCCCAAGTGTTCTTTCTTAGATCCAGATCAGACTCTGAACCCATTCGTACTTTCCCAACTTTAGACCGTGTTCCAAGACTTTCACAGGTCAATACTGTGTTCCTAGTGCAGATAACATCAAGATGGTTCCAGCGCAAATTGTTTAGGGAAAACCAACTGTTGAGGGGAATTCAAATTGCATTGAAGATTGATCTTCCCAGACAAAGGTCCGTATACAATAGAAGTCGTTATGAGCGCAAAAATTTGATATTTTCAGTCGCGATGAAACTCAGACTTGGGAAGGTTCTTTTATCTACATTGCTCAGGATATGGGGAGATATCCAATAGATCACGTATTCCTTCATGCTTCTTTTTTAAAAAAGGGCCAGAAATAATTCGATCAGAGGAAGATATCTTCTTCAGAATCTGGACACACCCACCCTCCTATAGATGCAGATATGAATGTCTGTGACGTGTAACTTAATGGAGGAGACGATTTTAAAATTCACAATGGGCTGGATCACAAGCTAAGTGTGATGGAACATCAATATCAGAAACCCTGGATCGTAATATTCAGAGGCGACTCACTTGGACGCGTTGGGTTCCTAGCCACTGGACAGCGGTAATTTCCAAAGTTATTGAACTCATCTAGCGCGTCAACAACTTAGCACAAACGGAAAGATGAGGTTCAATCAAAATTCCAATCCAAACTCCCAGCAAATCAAGAAATTTTGCTGACCCATGTCACCACCCTCGACCAAGAAATATGTGATAGAGTGAACGGTTCGACCGTCTGGGTAGTTTGGATCAGGTTGAGGCTGATAGTTGGCGCTGGCCGGTTTGCAATTGACGAAGCTAACCGCCCCTAGATCTGCTTCTGCAAAACGAAGAAACATCGAAAGAAAGGTTCAGCTTCAGAAGTCTTGTTAATATCAGTTTCTTAAAGTTGCATGAAGGAGTCGCACTTAGCTGTTTACCACCAAAACTGCAGTGTGTATAATAACATTGATGCCTGCCGTCACCTCCTTTGCATACTGGATAGGAAAGCTTTAGACACGAAGCTTTGTAGGAAGAGCGAATAGATGATTAGAAATCGATTACGTACTGGCTCTGCCAGTGCTTTTATTCGCAAACCAATTATCCTGGCAACCGTAATTGGCAAAGACAAGAGATGTAAAAGCTTGCAAGAGAACAAACATGACCAACGCGTACTTAAACATAGCGATTGTTGAGATGGCGAAGTCTTGATAAGTAAAATCTCAACACCAGCAGTCTTTGATCAAGTCAGGTATTGATGGTTTTAATGGGATGAGGAGCTTTATAAGGCTTGGACGAGAGCTGCACCCCAACGTGCCATCAGTGGTGGTGCAGAGGCTTGAGCTGGCTTGAGCGTTCCATGAGATTCGAGTTCTCAGATTATACGTGTACACATATCAACCACATTACGAATGAGTAGGAAATGTTAGGGTCAAGGGTTTCCAGGGTCCTTGAGGCTGTGTTTCAGCATTAGCGTGGCGGCTATCCTCACCAACGCCATGCCCCTATTTCTATATAAAATGTACATGGATGTTGTGTTTGTTTGTGTTCAATGACCAAAATAAGAATTAGTTCGTAGTCAACCATTTTGTGTCCCAACAGGAAAGAGTCCACCTGCTAGCACCTGCTGCCTTCTGTACAAGGGCGGAGAAACCAGACATGTGCTTGGGTGTTTTCAACTATTTGAACTTACAGTTGATTTCAAAAACCTTGCCGAAAATTCTGTGCCACATTGCTTGAGTTTTGCTAGAAAAGTTGTACATACAAGCTTTTTTAAATCGACAGTAAATACAGCCCTTGTGAAAAATAATGGTTTTTTTTTTTTTTACTCCCAGATTTTACTCACTTTCTGCCTTGTCGAAAAAACCGGATTTCTTTTTTTTCCGAGTGGGAAACTGTCGAATGATATTGACAGTTTCCCACGGAATATCTGCAAGGTAGCACCATACGTGCTTGGCAACCGTCAGTCTATCTGCAATGGAGATAGACTGACTGGAGGTAATCCGGTGGTTGATCTTCCGATAGGTTTTGCCGGGTTAGAAATCAACTGGCAGACCACCTCTGCGAGTTGATTTCTAACCCGGCAAAAGAAATCTCAACCTCAACCTCACTTCCTCCCAATCGGCCACATTCCCTAATTATCCGCACCATGCCGCCGGTTATTTCTATTCTTTTTTCAAGACTCTCCTCTCTTGCCTCGCTCATATGTTTTGTTTCCAGGTCCGAACGCCCATCATAGCCCCGAGATCAAGCTTGCTGTGGTCCGATTGGCACTCACCGGCGTTCGTGTTCAGGACATATCAAGGACCCTTGGAATGGACTTGGCCTTTACGTCTGTACGTCGCTGGACGAATCTCTACCACCAAACCCGCGCGGTCGTTACGAATCCCATGGATCACATGGATTGTGGGGCTCCGTTGGTCTTAGGAGGACCCGAGAGACTGTTTGTCCTGGACAGTCTTCGACTCGATCCGACCTTGTACTTAGACGAGCTTCAAAGTAAGATAATGGAAAGGTTCCATAAGCAGGTATCCATCAAGACGCTTTCTACCGAGCTACGTGACCGGTTGTGTTGGACACGTAAGAAAGCCCGCACGGTTCATCCCAACCAAAGTTTGGCCGCGCGGGGTGCCTACATGGCTTCTGTCCTTGAGATTGACCCTCACTGCCTTGTTTTTGCAGGTAAGCCTTTTCTTTTGGGTCTTTTGGTGTCACGACTTCTTTTTTAATGTATTTTTCTTCTTTTCGACTCTTTAGATGAAACCGCAATTTCGAAAAGACGTTTATATCGCGAGTATGCTCGCTCTCCCATTGGAGAACGGACCCCGCGACTGCCACGGCCCACTCGAGCTGGCCGTTGGTCGGCCTTACCTGCGATTTCCCTGGACGGATTACTGGCGATAACTATAAAGCGCGGTGGTTATTCAAGATTAAACTTTGAAGCGTTCTTGCAAGAAGAGTTGGTGAGCTATGTATCCACAACCCATCCTCGCATTGTCTAGCATGAGTTTGCTAATTTGATTGGCTCGGTTTCCTCATAGTTGCCGGCCATGAATCCTTGGCCGGCTAGGAATTCAGTCCTGGTTTTAGATAATGCCCCCATCCATCACGGGGGCTCAATAGCTGAGTTGTGTGAAGAGCGCGGGGTACGGTTGATTTACTTGCCGGCATATAGCCCGGACTTCAATCCAATTGAGAAGGGCTTCTCACCGGTGAAGGCTAATCTCAGGAGAAGTCAGGATCTTCAAGGTGCTATCGATGCCGATGGTGAGAGGGTGGTGGTCTGGATGTCCATGATGGATGTCTTTACCAATGAATTGTGCGACAAACTTTTCAAGGGTAGTGGCTACATGTAGTTATTTTGTACCATACGTTATCTTGCATTTCTATCTTTTCTCAATCATGTACGGTTTTGATTGAAATGAATCCATAATAGTTGTCTTTCTTGACTTTGACAAGCAAGACATGTTTTTCGGTTCCATAATTGGGACAAGATTTTGAGCCATTACCTTAACGAGTATACCGTAAAGCGAGCCAGCCGGTAAAGTTCGGAGTTTTCCGGTGAGATGCTCAAAATGAAAACTCCGATGGAAGTCTGTCATTTCGGACTCGGTGGCCAGTTTGCACGTCAGATTTTCTGACGTGCTTCTGCGATCAAGAGGAAGAGGCGCTCTCGCAGAGGTTCTTCTCGGCTCATGCTCAAAGTCTCGCTCGCTTTCATCATGTAAGGGGCACTAGAGTTTTCATTTTGACATGGCCATTTCAGACTGTTTACAAATGATCATACTCAAAGTAGACAAGATACCGGAAACAAGGCTATAACAGGGTTAAAGAAACATAACCAATTGAGAGAAAAATGGGAGGAACTAAGAAGTGTAAGACTGCATTGCACTTTTAAAGTTGTTCTTTGGGGAGGGGAGTTACGTCTCTTCGCTGCCCATCTACTGGGCTTTTGGATAACTATTATACTTTCATTTGGAGGTAGTGGCCTTCTTCATTTCCGCGTCGGCCTCTTGGGCAGCATCTAAGAGGCGCCTAGCGATGTCGAAGGACAATCCATGTCCAGTCAACACATTAACCGTCATTTGGAGACTCGGGACTAAATCGGTCCAAGAGGAAACGTTGGCGTTGCGGAGGATGGTGCAAGTAGAGACGTCGTTGCGAGGAATCTCACATTCGTCCAAAAAGTTGTCCAAAAGTGTCGAATGGGTGACCTCAGTCTCCACGTCCGAGTCTGAAACGTGACCCATGGAGGATTTGGGTGGATCCTCAGAGGTGAGAAGGGAAATAACGTTATCGGGGGTATTTGCCGTGGCTGCGATGGATGCCAAGAGCGTTAGTTCGAGTGTGGACCAAAATCAAAGTTCCACTGGACTCCTATGGGTAACTTACGAGATTCCTGTTTGATTTTCTTCTTGACAGTCCCGCTGGTCAGAAGGGAAGGGGTGTGTTCGAGTTTGCGTTTAGAGTCAGAAGGACTCAAAGGTTCTACCTTGACCTTGACATCCTCGGCAGGTCGATTCGCAAAGAAGGTGCGGCGGTTTTCATTTTTCGAAGTAGAACTGCGAAGGTTGGGGCTAGCCACCGGGTAACATTTTTTTACACGGTTGTCCACGGTTGTGTCGGGGTGTTCGACAGCGTTTTTAGCCATCTCCCGCTTGTATTCCCTCGTGTTCGGAGGTATGGCTCGAGTGGTGTAGCTATCGCGCTGAAATACACACAAAGGTCAGCTCGATGCCTACAACATAGGGAAAGAAACAAAGCACATATGAAAGAAATATAAACTTACAATACATTTAGCCCATATGAAAGCACATCGCTGGGAAAAACAATAAAGGTAGTTAGGGTCCCAAGGCGCCGACAACACTGCCCCATCGCCACCCAGAGCGCGCTCGAGGTGTTCGTTGTAGATGGTAGCAGCCTCAAGTTCCAACTCTTTGGCCGCTGTGACCTTCTAGTAGGGTCACAAAGGGATGAAACATAGGATTAGCCCGCCAATCTGAACCAAGGTCACAGCTGTGAAACAAACTTACTAAACTTTCCTCTTTCGCGAGGGCGGTTTCCTCCTTGAACGCGGCTAGTTTGGCTTCAATCGAGTTCGGGCCAGTGGTTCCTTTTATATAAGCAACTGCTCCACTAGCCTAAATCGTGACATAAGGGCAAACAGAGCCAAGAAGAACGTCAGATAAAATAATTTGAAGTACTCAACCGCTGGTAAAAGTATGAAATATCAAAAGAAGGGCACACCTGTGCATTTCTTTTTTCCTTCACTTGAGCTTTCTGAAGTACGATGTTGATCGTACCTTTTGAGGAACAACTTTTGTCCAAGTTGTTCACAAACTCTTGATAATTCTTGTAATCGATCAGTTTATTCTTCTTCGAACCAACACTAGCGTTCCAGGTCAACATCGGTGCTAAAGCACTCTCAAGAACGACCTTCTTGATCCCGGGGAAATAATTGTCACAAACGTCGCCAATCAAGTCCTTAAATTCTTTCAATGATTTCCCATACAAGAATACTTTGAAGTCCAACATCTGTCCATCCTTGAAATCGGATGAATCAATAACGGCGGTGGTAGGAGGCGGTGGTGCTTTCTTTTTGCTGGCGGTTACCTTCGAAGAAGAGGGTGCTTTCACCATACCGGGCATCACATCGACTGAATCATTCGTGTGAATCTTGAAAGCCACCGCGATGGTGAAAGATTGACTTTCTTCCATCAAGCGGCGGCTTTCAGTGCCTTGGCGCCAAAGGCGCTCCAGAGTGGGATGACGCGCTGGGGCGTTGTCACCATCCTCGATCAAATAAGGTGGATCAAAAACTACCAGAAACAGATATCAACATTCTGAACAAGTGAAAGATATAGAATGAAACAACTCACCTTCATCGGGATCCTCGTTTTCATGAATCAAATTCATAATTGGATCACATGGCATTGCTGACCAAAAGAATAGAAAGATCAGTAAGCAATTGTCCCATCAAAAGTTTGGATCATGGGAACACTGACCGAATGGAGCTTTGAATCGAAATGATATTTCGAAAGGGTAGTTGACAATGGAAGCACTAAGACGACGAACCACACTAAACAAACGGTAAATGTCAATAGTGAGTTGATAGCCTTGGAAAGAGAAGTGATAATATTGAAAAAAAGAAACAAAATACCCAGACAAAGCAGTGATTATCGAGTGGATTGAAAGAAGACAAGGTGAACGGGGAAGAAATGATTTCTTGGGAGAATCCGTTGGGATCGAAGGGATCCAAATCGAAGAGGAAACATGACAGTTCCGGCTGGCGTGACTCCATCCGGAAGGTAAGTTCATCACGTGTGCAGTGGGTGGTGAGGTCGTGACTGTCGAACGAGGGATTTACGATTGGATATAGTGGTCGAAAGATGGATGTGCAAGAGGAATTTGATGATCATAACCCACTGCTGAGTCTAAAATTCTCAAGAATCAAGAGGGCAGAAACTAAGTAAAATCCGGGAGAGAAAAAAAAAAAAAAAAACCATTATTTTTCACAAGGGCTGTACTTGTGGCGCTAGACTGGTGCGGGATATACATACAGTCAAAACTCTCCAAACACATAACTCGCTAAATCCATGAACCCTCCAAAGCCACAGGGTATGGCTTCCACATTTGTGGTGCAGGGCCTTGTGATTGGCATTAGTGTACACTATGTTCCGGATTGGGAAGATGAGACATGTTTCGCCTGGTGACCGGGATATTGTGTTTGGAAATGGTGTGGTTGAGCCACTGTGAAAGTTGTTGATGGCACATATGATCATGGTCACATTGCCCTATGGGTTTCAAACTACTGGTGGTAATATAAATTGGTGATAGTTTATTTGATTCCACTAGACCCTGGGCGGCCAGCCGTCTTATGGACTTAGACCATACCCTAACTTAGGCTTGGGGGTAAAAGCTTCAAGCTTGGACCTTCCATTGATCAACGGCCAACATGATGTTGTAGACATGCTTTGAAAATGATCTCTAACATGCTCACCAAGTTGCCAGATTTGCATCAATGGCTTGCTATGGTCATATTTAGGTATATGATAGCTGTCGGGGTTTGAAATTTTTCTGAACCACATTTGAGGTTGAAAAGCTACCTCATCAGTGTACAACAAAGTCTGACACCAATTACCGCTTGACCCCCTGAGGATGTGTGGTGCAAAGGACATCCTCAGTTCTGTCACAGTGTATGTGACCTCCTAAAAATGTTCTCATGGATCGCAGCAGACGGCAAGATTTGGAATGTAGGATCAGTTAAAGTGCTGAATGCAGCGTGTGGTCAACCACTGACATCCATGAAGTCTGATTTTTCAAGGTAGAAATGCATTCACGTGAAATGGAGCCAGAGGAATTGTTGTGATCCTTCACTGCATCCAGGTGTGAAGTTTCATCGTTAGCCAAACAATTCACAAGCTAACCGCACTCAGGGTACAACCACTGGGGGCTCCACAGCCGGAGATACACAGGAGTGTGGCGCGCCGTTTGAAGAGCCTGATGTGTTTCTGTGACACGCAAAGCCATGAAACCATTGACCATATGGGGTTTCCTAGGCTTGTGTCTCAAGGAATCATTTAGCTTGGCACTTTTTTTACAAGAAACACATCTTGGATTATTGTAGGTAATTTTCTAAAGATCAACCATCATGAACTGTGCAATTCATGTGAAGTATGGCTCACCTGATGATTGCACAGTTCAGGCAGCTAAGGGTATGGCCAGGGTGGTGGATCTATCCTACAGGCCAGTGAGCAGTAGGCTACCTGGTGGGCCATGTGGGCAATGGCCTGGCTTGAATGCTACTTTGACCATTTGCATGTAGGCCTCACGTTCTGCCTCATGTGTACAGATCCGGGAGCTGCCAATGACTTGCACTGGAGATGAATAATTGTTGTCGTACATATCTTGTCGATGTATGGCTGGAAAAGTATCATCCACAAGGGACCCACCAATAACTGGACCAGATTGGGCCAAAACCAAATTTTCAACATCAGAGGTGAGTTGCAAAAGGTTTTTGGTGAGTGTATTGACTTTTTTCCCATTAAATTGGAGATCTCCAACATTAAGTGTGCATTACATGTTGCCTGAACAAGGTGGCGGTGGTTGTCACCCACCACCTGCGCATAGGTAGGAATCATTGATGAGTGGTTACAAGCTGTAAAGAAAATAAACAAAGTCCTCACCTTAGCCTGAATCAGAGCATATTGTTCATGGACAATAGCGGTTCTCAAACCTAACCCGGTTTGTAAAAATCCCGGTACACCCGGTTCATTTTTGAACTGGGTGGACTGGGTACGTGAAAAAAAATCCATGTTTGTTATTCAAACCAGTCGACTCCGCCACCATAACCATACACCTCTGCAGCTATGCCACGCAAACAGCGCTCCAAGCAAGGGCCTTGTACTGATACCACATCATCTCATACAGTTAGCTCAACTCCAATCACCAATACTCCCCATACAACTCCCGGAAGTCTATCGACTTTCACTCCAGTATCAGGGATCCCAATCACTTCAGTTGGTCACGGTTCACCCACGGCTTCTCTCTCTCAAATCGACTTGATCCGTTTGGGGCAAGCTTTGGCAAACTCAGGATCACCCGCGGGGTTTATCACGGTTCCAAGTCAAAACCCACCTTTTAATCCCAATCCAGCAACTTTCACACCTGTGGGATCTCAGCCAGAAACAGCTGTTTCTATGAAGACGACAAGTGAAGAACCCACCAAATCGGCCTGAGGCAAACAAGGGCAAGGTAGACCAAAGAAGTCTGAAGTCAAGGTTGATGAAGATAAGTCGAAGGCTTCTCAGGTGTCGTGGTTTGTGGAACGAGCCGACGGATTCACCGACCTAGACTTAGTTGCGATGTGGTGTTCCGATGAAGATCACTACGATCAATGGAGATCCGCCACTCCAAGCAAGATTGTGGTATCTGCGGTTTTGGCTGCTCATCTGAAACAAAAGGGTCACCCTGAGCAATCACCAAGAGAGGTTGACAAGAAAGTAAGTGTGGATAGGTCACTTGGACATGTCACTTCACCTTCTCATCTTTAGCTTTTCATTTGTTATTAATGTCTTTGTTTGATATCGCAGATCAAATACCTCGAAGAGAAATTTAAAGACGCTTATAAGGAATTTAACTCAACCGGCCAAGGTATTCTTGGAGACGCAGCCTACAAGGAACAGCTCGAAGAGATGGATTTAATATCTGTTAATGTCAACAGTGACGGTGAGGACGTGGTGGTCGGAAAAATCTCTTCAACTAGGAAAAAAAATAGTCGCAAAGCCTCTGCAAGTGCTTCTGCCCTTGGTGCGTGTTTTATCCTTTATCCAAGACTGTATTAGATCTTTTGCTGATTCTCTAATATACATGTATAAAGAGAAAGCGATATCGATTTGCCCATGGTATTGTGTGTTAGAAAGTGTGATGTGTCAACGCTCAAACATCACCCCCGAAGCAACTATGGATACTTTAGGAAACACATCTTACCCCAGTTTTGATTTCAACTCGAACTCGAATTTAAATAACAGCCAAACAGATTTGACTGATTTGGACCTCGGTGGCAACATCTATACTCCTACTCAAGAGGGGGTTGTATTGGATTCTGACGAGAATCCGGATTTCAAGGAGGAAGAAGATTTGAAACCTCGTGGGTCCCAAAACAAAAACAAAAGTAAGTTGAAAGGTTCAAATAGTGATAAACTTTCAACTTACTATTAATATTTTTGGTTTTTAGGGTCTTGAATCGGAAGTGGATCTCGGGACACTCTTGGTCTCCAAACTCTCATGAACAATTATCTACCCTCCAAATCTGAACGGGCAGCTACTGCGAGAGAAGAACGAAAGAAAGACAAACGTCAGATGCAACTGAACTCGAAGATAGCAAAGGCGATCAGTGACATGTCACAAAATCGACATGATGATGTCCAGCTAAAGAGGGAGCAGCTCCGTGGCGAAGCGGTTACTAAATTTATGGGAATGGGCGATAACTTTGAAGAGGCCTTCAAAAAGGCTCTTATGATGTACCCTCAAACTATTCCCGCTCCTGAGGACTCAAATCCGGCCAGCACTTCTCGTTTGGGCAGAATGGACAATTATGATGCTTATGACTCGTCTGACGCCTCAAGTGACAGCGACGCAGTCCACCAGTAGGTTCACCGAAGGTTCAAATGATCACTCAGTTGTATCTTATCACTTTTCTTTCAAATCATACCCAAAAAAAAAAGGATTGGTGTGGACTTGTTTTTCTTGATTCTGACTCTCAAAAACCCCAAAAGAAAAAGTCTTTGTCTTTTTGAGTAATCTGTTATTTCTTACTTCTGAAAAAAAAAATGTTTTGATTTCACCTCGTTTTGTTTTCCTTTTCTCAAAATGGTGGCCAAGGTGGTCAAAACCAGGAGTTTAACTCGTTGTTTGTTTTCAAATTCAATCAAATTGAATATTTCAAAACTATGAATTATGTATTGGTTTTTTAGTTATCAACAAAACTAAAAAACTAAGGACTTTTATGTGTACTTCCAAGGTAAAGTAAAGAGGTCATTATGAGATATTTGAACGAAAGCAAACACATGGAAGATTGGTAATATCTATATACAAAAACCTGAATCAAGACATCGTCGATAGAAAATCCTGAAATAAAGAATTTCGGGTTTGATCAGATAGTCGTGTATGGCCTAAAGTGGCATAAGCCTCTTCTTCAGCAGTTGGAAGAGGCTCTTGCTGATTTTCCCACTCCTCTGATTGACCAAAGTCCCCAGATGGATCTTCTTCTTGAACATAATTATGTACCACACAGCACGCTGCCAGCCATGAATTCAGGCGGGCAGCAGTGCGTTGGTCCCGAATCACCAGTCTACACTCTTTACAAGATTGAGTCTGCCCTTTCCACATTCCATTAGTATGTTCGGAAACTATTTGAGCCGTACTTAATTCAAATTTGAAATGCTGGTGAGCTCGGTCCAGTTCTTGACCTCTGGGCTTCTTGAATGCCGGGACGATGAATTTCGAGGCACTGTAGCCAGAGTCAGCCAACAGGTACTCTCCAGGGCTAAAATACCTGTCTATATTCTTATAAAACTAAGTGACACATACATCAGTCAGTAAGAGCAACACGCCGAAAATTTAAGCTAAATAATTGCACTTACCTCGGTTGATTTTAACACTCGTTGGTCATGCGCGCTCCCACACCATCCGTGGTGTGCATAGATGATTCTTCTTCTATGATCACAGATGATCAGTGAATCCATCGCTTAGACAGACTTTTGGCAGTAATAGTCTTCACTATTTTTCTGAGGTGCGTATGCTAGTGGAATGAGGGTTCCATTGATGAAACCCACACAACCTTTAAAGAAACACTTTGAACCAAATTCAGCTTTAATTCGGGCTCGTTCTTCGGGCGTCGGCCACTTCACGTAATTCGATCCAATGTGATTGAGGGCAACGATACAGCGGTTGGTATAGTTATCAACGCTCCCTTCTAAAGATTTCAAGATCGAGTCAGAAATCTTGACTCGATGGGGATGTAACATAAAGCTGCTTACCGGCCATCGAGAATAGCTTAGCTATGATTGCACACTGTCCACCATTACCAGAAAGACCAAAGTTGGCCATGGCAACCAGCAGCTGCCATTGAACCGGAGCTTGAGGACATGTCGGATTATTATGAAATATCGGATCGCCTGAGATCTTATCTACAAGGGTTATAAAGGCCTTCTTTGACATCCGAGCCTGTTGGGTCAGATTTTGCGTCAGTCATCTTGATTTTGAAGCTAGAGAACCACATTGACATACCACAATTACCCATGTGCGATCAGACTCGTGGAACCATTCGTCAAAGCAATCCTGCTTTTTCATCCGGCGCGAAAGACGAGTAAGTCTAGGAGTGAGATATTGTTTCTTCTGAGCATGATCTAACCCAAATGCCAAGATCGCAAGCATCGATTCGTCTTCTTTGTATTTACGTTTGCGAGATGTTTGATATGAATTCGACTTGAAGTTGCTTGTTACGAGTAGCTGAAAAGCCATCAAGAGGAGGCTGCTTTGTGAGTTGATATCAACGGTGTCTTCATCGAAATCAAGCTGATCTAAAACAATCACAGAGGCCAAGATCGTGGTGAGGTCGCTGGGGTTTGTATGGGTTCGGTAATAGTTGGTGGCCAGTGATGCTACCTGGAGTGCAAAGAAGCACTTCAAGTAGGCCAAGACGTCGTTGCGAGTATTTGAGGTTTGACAACCAGATCACCAACTATCTGCGTGGTTGCAATCGAATGAAGGATGGTGCTTATGATTTAGATGACCCAGACTCGGCCCTGCAGTGGTGGGCAGTGAGTACCTATCTAACCTTCTGAACGCTGTTGAATATCTGATTGTGTTTTCTTTCACTTAGGCTCATTGCAATCGATACCCTGTGGTCGCAGAGATGGCTAAGGATTACTTATCCTGCTCAGCCTCTTCTTGTGAACCAGAGAGGATGTTCTCAACTGCTGCAGACGTTTGCGTTGCAAGTAGAGGACGATTGTTGGTTATTTCAATCAAGAGGCAAGTTTCTTGCCAGCTTTGGCTTGCAGAGGGGGTTCCCTTAGGCAAAGACTTCATCAAATTGATGGAGGCTTGCAATATGATTGGTTACAGTGATTATGTCAAGGATTACAATCTATCTCGAGCTAAGGCCTAAATATGGTATCTTTACTACTTTTTTACCATTCCTTTATTGATCCTTAATCAATACTTACTATCTTCAAGTTGTGTAATTTCTATTTTTATGTGTTTATTTCTTGTTTATGTTATAAACCAATTTAATCACATTCTTTTGTAACTTGCCCAATTTGAGCTCCTGCAGCGCGCTGCGTCAGCGGAGCGGACACTGAGAGACGTCGCGTTTTGAGTCTGTGAGGGTAATTGCAGCGGAAAAACGCTGCGTTCCGGTAGCAGTGCAACTATATTGAGTTGCGCTGCAAGGGCCGGCCAAACCTGCAACGGTTTTGGCATTGCGCTGCCGCTGTGACGCCCGAAACGCTGCTCAGCGCAGCTGGTCCAACCTTGGTGCGGCGCAAAAGTAGCGCCCCAAAACTTCAAAATATGTAGGGGCATGCCCCATAGTTAGTCTGCGGGTTTTTGTCAGTTTTGCAACCCATCTCCATCTGAAATGCCTGGAGAGAACTTTGAGGAGTGTGGCTTCATCATGGTAATAAGGTATTGGTCCAACAGTCTACCTCACTCTGATCTGATGTCACTTTACAGACCAAGTCTTGCCCAAAAGACATATGTAAGCAAGTCACTGTAAGAGTTTCATGTGTATAGAATCACAATCAACTTCCTTTCATTGTAATATCTCTTGCAATCTACCTTACAATCAATGTCTATAATTCTCTTATTGGCAACTACTGGCACTGTAATACTGGCCTCTGCTGGTGTAGACGATTTTTCCCTTTTTTTCTACTTTTTGAGGGCAGAAGGCGCGCCTGGCGCGCCCCAGTGGCGCCTGCGCCAGTCCAATTGAGATTTTTTGCGCCTGGGCGCGCCTGTTAGAAAAAGGACCCGCCCACAACATGAGCTGTGACCCAGCCCTGAAAATTCAGGGCCGGACACAGGGCCAAACCTGGCCTTGGACCCAAGGGGCTCCAAAATTTGCACAGGGCCAACCAGGGCACACCTCGAATGTTTTATGGGTCACAAAATGTGGTCAATGATTTTGAGCTATATTGCCATTATATGTCTATCAGAAGGTATTTGGACTCTACATGATCCTACTTGTACAAGTGTCTGCAGAAAAGATATGTCACCCTTGGGGCCAAACTGGCTCACACTTGGTTGTATTACATACACTGTAATGACCTTTTGGCCCCAAGGGTGTTGTATCTTTTCTGCAGGCACATGTACATCAAAAAGATCTATACTGTGCCTATGTTCAAAGAAAAAATATCATTTATTTTTTTGTTTATCAAGCAAGAAACCAACTGGCACCTGGGCGGGCAGGGCATTTGTGGCTAGGTTCTAGTGTGACAGGGTGCGGACTGTCAGCTTCAAGAATATTGTCAGGCAGGGAGGGCCAGGCAGGGCCAGGTCCGGGTCACAGCCTCCAGATGCAACATCCACTAAATCATCATTATCGCATGCACAATAATTGGCCGACAATCTTAGAAGCTCATTAATCGATGCTTTTCAGAATCATCCATTAAGAAAAGGTGTCACATCCAAGATGATGTCACTGTATCTGTCCCCGATGACCAGAAAAAGAATCACTCATCATATATGTATAATATATACTACTAACTTGTATCTCTTTCTCCTTTTTATATTACTCAACTCATTTTTAGATGGTGAAAAACGCTCATAATTAAGAGACCAGAAACTCCAACAAAAAAAGGTGGAATATTTAAAAAAGAAAGAGGAAACAAAGGAACTAATGATAACCAAAGGAAAGAAAAAAAAACGGACCATAAAAAATGAAAAAAATGAAATGAAATAAAAAACGGTTGATTGTTTTTCAAAAAATCTTGAAATGAGAAAGATTGAAGCTAATAAAGTTAAAAGAAACCTCGTTTCACTTTTTGAATCAAGGGTTTTCTCTCACAAGAAGTACTGAAATCGAATTTCACAACATCCAGATTTAGTTCAATTGTCTAAAATCTTTTGGGGGTGGAAGTGGATTGGAAAGAACTCACGTCTGGAACTCTTCGTGAAACTAGTGGTTCTCCGGCACGTGGCGCGGGATCAAATTGTAGGCTAAAGAGAGACAGTTGAAACAAAATAAGCAAAGATCTGAACAGCTGACCGTGTTGGTCATTCCTTCAGCGAAGCCAGGGAAGTGTGGCTTACAATGTAAATTTATTGTGCTCATCGATTTCCATAATTGCGGCTTGATTACCACATCGGTAACAGTAGTTAGGTGCAGAGAAGATGGTGACTACATTCCTCTCATGTGACCAATTGTAACCTTCCATCACAAGTTGATGGGCTCGTGCTGTCAATAGAACGTGATATCAGCAAACATTCACACGAAGATCTTTTTACAATAAACATCACTCACCAACAAGCGTGAGACCGTTGTTGTGATTGAAAGCATCCGAAATATCTTGTCCGAATGTGTAACCAGCCCCTCGAGGAGAGATACCCCATCCACAACGATCATCAGGGTCAGACCAGAGTAGGTCACACATCGGTCCCTCATGAGGAACTTCTTGAATTCGATCAATGGATCGAATATGATCCAGCGTGTCAATCGAAGGTGATAGTCCACCATGCAGACAGAAGATCTGTAATCACAATCCGGAACCCGAAGACCGTCCACAAGGATAACATTAGAATGTGGTCAGGAATTAAACAAGCACAGATGACACGTTACCTGTTCGTCGATCAGAGCTGTAAGAGGTAGATAATCAAACAAGTCGGTGAAAAATTTCCACACGTTCGCATTTCCATACTTCCTCAGGCATTCGTCGTAAAATCCATATACTTGAGTGATCTGTCTACTCTCATGATTCCCACGAAGGATCGTTACCCGATCACGATATCGTACTTTGAGAGCTACAAGGAGCGTGACGGTCTCAACCGAATAGTAACCACGATCGACATAATCTCCCATAAATAGATAATTAGTATCAGGTGAATTGCCACCGATCCTGAAGAGCTCTGATAAATCATGCTGTGGGGATTGGTGAGCAACAGGAATAAAAAGTTGGGTGTAATGAGAAAACAACAAAATCAGTATAATCGAATGGCGATTTGTATGTTATGAGGCGCATTTGAAAGTGTTGATCTTGAGGAGTGCAGGGTATCCAATAGAATGATGTTACCAAGACGCACAAATTGCCCATGAATATCACCGCATACAGTTACCGGGCATCGAACGGGTTGGACATTGGATTCCTCCTGTGATGATAAGATCCAAAGAAGGAAAGATAATGAGAAGAAAAAAGTTAAAAGCAGATTAGGGGACAGATGAGATGGATCAGGCATGAGGCTCATTGTCTTTGCTGTGTTGAATGAGCCCTTCTGGTAAGTCGAGAGTAGAACAGAGAGCCAATGAACAGATCAACGAACCATGAGGATCTCTCGAGCCTAAATTTGATTTGAGGTGTTCAAGTGGTATTAGAGTCTAGTCAGGTTGAAGTTCAACAGGAATCGGATAAAGAAATGGTGGCAAGTAACTGACCTTTTCACATAATCGTTTTACATCTGCCTCTGTGAGCTGTTTGCACTGAGAAAGGTGAGAAACCCAAGAATCGATTTCGGCTGTTTAGAAAGAGTTGAGATGATCAAAAAGATGTATCTGATAGAGGTTTTGGAAAAAAGAAAGATAACTAACAATTGTCCATCTAGACTGATTGTTTCACAAAGGGTTTTGATGTTGAGGTGGATGATAGTGTTGATAGTTGAAAGTAAATTGGATTGATTTCTATTTTTTCGTTAATCTTCGATTTTGATATTAAGATAGTTCTTTTCTTCTTGAACTTGATGGTTGTACTCTTCAGATTGTTGAACTCAATTCAATCAAAGTGGTGTCAAGTGGTCATGAGCTGAACGGTAAAGGGGAGAAGGGAAGAATGAAAAGGGAAATCAAAGCAGGGCAGCTTGCTCTGATCGGTGACATGGAATGTGACAGTTGTACTCCCTACATAATTCATGATAGGTTTAAAAGCATCGCCACCAGTCCAGGACCGCGACCCGTCATACAGGGGAGTACATATTAGACATCTGCCTTGAAGTTGTATTTCCATCCAGGAAGGCATCTATCACCGGCCACTCTGGAACAGTCTGCTCTGCAATCTTACGCCTGCCAGCTATTTCCAAAGAACATGATAATCTTGTTGGCATAGAATGAAAATAAGGTAAATACAGGCAGACAATAGTGGCTCTGGAAAGAATTGTGTTACACGGTTGCTCGAGTCAAAGCTTCAGAAAAAGCATTCCAGACGTCCCCGAAGTTTCTGCGGGTCACCGTCTACAGATGCCGAGAGACCTGAAGCGGTTCAGACTTTATTTGCGCAGCGCACGGACTACAATAAAGCTGTGAAACTTGCTTCCTGACTTGCGCGCATACGACACCACGCTGATTTTCAAGCCAACATATCTTCATGTCGGCACTTTTCTTGTAGCTTTTGTATCCATGTGCATTCCCTCGTAGTCATCAGAGAGTCTCGATGGATGAGTCAACTTTTTAGAAGGATTTTGAAAAGGAAACCTGGAAGATTTGTAAAAAAAACATGGTGGGATTGTTGAATTTGAATTCTCAAACAAAATTCTAGGAGAAAAACAGACAAACTTTTTCCAATCAGTTGGGATTGACAAAAGGCAATGTGTATATCTTTTAGTGAGAGGTTGAAAGGAAGCTCTTATGACCTTCATCTTTGTCAGGTTTTTAATGTCGTAGTATCCTAATCTTAAAGCCGTCTTCGTGATTTAGTTTTTACCTAAGATCCCTCCATATCGATGGTCCACAATGAAGAATGTTAAACGTGAATCGTCTTATTTTAGTAAAACTTTTCTTTCATCTCTCCTCATGCCCTCGTCGCCTCAAAAAACACCATAGCCATGTATTTCAGTAGGCTATATTTTCTTTCTTCAATTGTAGGACTTCTCGTCACTTTAGTGATTGTTTAGCTGCCCTGGGACTCGTGAGCTCTCTATTTCATCGAGATAATTAATTTCACACCTTTTCATCCGACTCAAAGGTGATATTCCTACTTGCGATGAAGGTGCAATTTGCGAATGCGCTTGATGACGCTCTCAAAGCAGAAGAATTACAACTCACATAACATCAAGTGGAATAAAATTCATCGAACTAAATGGAACTATGTCCCAAAATTATCCAATGTGTGATTCAAGCTTGAAAGATTTCCTTGGAAAGGTGTTGATTACCACCACTATTTCCGAAGCACTACCAAAAAAACTAAACAAACATGTTGGAAGACACAACATATGAGAAAGTTCTTGATTTCAAAGGCTTCAATCGCACTTTTCTGACACCTGGATTGTTCCTTGAAGTATAAAATAAGTCTGACACCTGGATTGTTCCTTGAAGTATAAAATAAGAAAATATGAAAACAACCAGATCACAAGTTTTACACAAATGAAATGTTGGTTAACTTTCACAGTGATATTTTATCCAATTCGAGTATTTTAAACTCGCTATCTGGGTCTTGATGTTGCCCTGCTAACGAGTAAACAAGCGTCCAAGTAAAGGAAAATTGACTAAAAGGCCAATAAGAGACAACATATAGGAGAATGATGCGCTGTTCTCTGAGCCACTATTCCCAGCACGCTTCTTCCCACCTTTCCCTGCCTTCCCTGCGTGACCCCCCACACCCCGCAGCTGCCTTTCAGGAAGTGTTTGAGATCCTACACCGTACACCTTTCTATTCACCTTTTCATCGGAAGGTAGAATTTTCAACTCTGAAGAATCAGCGGATTCTCCAATATGGCTGGAATCCGCTTGTTCATCTTTAAATCCAAAGGTGAATGGGCTTGGAGGTATATCGGGAGGACCTCTCTGGGCTTCAAGTTCAAGTCTTTGAACTTCTTTTTGAGATTCTGCCATTTTGGTGTGGGCCGGTGAATATTGCACAAGACTGTGACCACCAGCTGTAGTTGGATCTATGGCATCTCTGATTGCTGGTGCTGAGGCATGTTCAAATTTCACCACCACAGCCATGGTTTGTGGCCCTAGCCCAAGTAGCAACGCAGCTATCAACTGATCGGATTTCATCTTGAACAAGCCTACAGATTACAAGTGTCAGAGATCCTCAAAATTTTAGCTCTTTGAATATTTTGAAGGATCCCACTATTTAGCGCCCCCTTGGGCAATATCCGGCGCCCCTCGAGTTTTGATCAATACCCGTGTGGCCCGTCAAAACCCGAGCACTATCAGCCTAAGTTTTGCTGAGTCGGACCCTGAGGGCTCCTTGAGGGCTCCTCACGGGGGCACAACTTCACAGATGAGCCCTTTATTTGACATTTTTGGTGCCCTTCCATCCTCGATGGGGCGACAAACATCATTGAAGCAAATGAAAGGGCACCTAAGTTCTTTTGCGCCCGGACCGGCCCCATGACTGCACGGACATCGGCCCCTCAAGTCACTCCTTGTTGAACTTTTCCTTCTTTCCTGTCCCCCCCACTGATCACATATTCAAACTTCAAACAACAACCTTCAACACACCCATCAACCTTACATCAACCTAGCAGTTCCTCCTCGATAAATTCAAGCTTATAAAACCATCAAACATTTAAAATCATTACTAATCTCATCCAAGACAAGATATGACTCAAAATTCAAATCTGATCTAGACTCAGCATAGGATCAGCATCAAGAACTCCCAATCTAGACTCAATATCAAGATCACTGTCAGCATTACCTCAACTTGAATGTTTCTCATTTCACTGTAGGTCATCGAAACCAACAAACTTGGATCCTCCAGCTTTATCGAATCTACATAACTCAGGTTTTACACTTTATGTCATGTTTTAAAAACATTTACTCACTTTACTCAAACTAAATAGCAGATGTTCAAAACCGTTGAACGTTTTTTAAACAATGTAGATGACAAAGGTTTAGGTCAAGTCTTTGAGCCGATTAAAGATACCTTAGAAGGTAACCATATGGTGTTCGATGTCATCTCACTCACCAATCAACTTGCGATGAAATCTTGGTCTGTCCAAACAGTTTCCTTTGTATATATTGCCAAACCATTTCCTATACTGATTTCTTCCCTTGTTTTTCAGGAACCAGATATCAAACTCAAGGGCCCAACTGAATGAGTCATTACACTTACTCAACACTCGTTCAAAACAAACTTCATCTTTGTACACTTTCTAGCACGGTGTAGTCTTGTATAACTGAAATTAAAGCAATGAAAATATTCAAACATCATTGTTTGGGTTCTTGAACATCAAGACGGCTAAAGATACTGTCAGGAGCTTGCCGTATAGATTAGCATTCAGCGCTCTTGATGGGAAAAACAAGGACAACAAGCCGAGTTGATTTTTTTTAAATCTATTCTTTTTTGACTGGGATAGTCTCAATTCAAATTCAAAAGAGTTGAGTTGAGCTTACATATTTGAGGCATTAACAATCCCCTTTTTTGCCTCGTATATCTTCGGTCCAGTCAAAATGATGTATTATCTACCAATGTCCCATCTTATGTTTTAAGACCGATATCTTGTATCAACCCCCGATGCATAAGATATGTTCATGCCGATGCATGTGGTCTTGTGTGCTTATCAAGCTCAGCTTCTCGGACTATCATCGAAGTGACATTGGCTCAGTATTTTACTTCGCTTACTTCAGAGGGTTCAAGGTTAAAGGTGTATCATGTAAATACAAAAGAGGAAATCCTTCAATGAACAATGGAGGATAAGTATAAATACACAAGATGAGATGAAATGTGGGAGCCCCAATCAGGAGCCCCTTTTTTTAAAAGGGGCGCCTGAAGTGTTTGTAGCCTGGTGTCCGACCCGAGAGGGGGCGCCAGATACTGTTCTGAGGGCTCTAAATAGTGGGATCCATTTTGAAATGGGTGTACACATTCTAAAGAGGAAGATAAATATTCAAAACTGTCTGCCTTACTTGATTGGACCCAAAGAAGACTTTTTGTTGTATTGTATCTGAGATTTATACTGATGAGATAGTTGCTCAAAAGTGCAGAACTGCAGACCAGATCTTCACCTTGAGATGTGCTACAAGACTCGGCACGGTGAGGACTTTTCGATGATAAACAAGGTGAGAGATGAACGAAAGGGAAGAAACAGTCTCTCAATTTATCGAAAAATCTAGCTATGCTTAGATGTATGTGGACCAAAAGACGACACGCGATGTGGATCGACGCAGTAATCATTTGACCCCTTCCGCATGAACCAGACAAAACTCATTGCCATTTTTAATCCATGGCTTCACTGATGTATCACATTTTGTGTCAGTCAGGATGCACAAGAGTCAGACTGGGAACATGTCGTCATGCATTCATACTCCACACGCAGCAACTGGTGGTTCTTGAGTGGGGGTGAGAGTGAGACAAGCAATCTCCATTATATCAATGATGATATGGTTTGGAGACTTGCACTGGCCTACTTGTTTTAGCTGCCGCTCTACGTCTACACGTTATCTGGCCTTCACTGCACCGGCGCCTTTTAACATGTCATTCGTGCAAGGAGAGCATGTTGTTGAGAGTATCTTGTGGAACTTGTACCGTATTAAAGACACTCCCCGTGTCTGTATCCTTGTACTAGCAGCATGCTGCCGTACAAACACAGAGGACTTTTCTTAGACCCTCAAAAGATCCTTTGAAGAGGTTCAATGACGGGCACATCTTCTCCTTATCAACTAGGATGTTTGTCATGATGCCTGTAAATCAGATTTTTTTGTTTTAATTGAGCTATCAGGACATATACCTTTAAAATTTGCGCAGAGTGTGTTTCTTACCTTCCACTTGTCTGTGAGCATTGTGATTTTGAAGGGATGGTTGTGTGGAATTGCGACACTTCATGTGGTATATTGGTACAAGAATGGGGACATACCATTATCTTGTCAAAATGGCCTTGCATTAACTATATATCATGATTTGGACAAAATGGCATCATTTTGTCAAAGTTATAATAACCTTCAAGACAAATTTCAACTGAAAGTGTTGAAGAAAAAGCTTTTATCAAACCAATCAAGAGAAATAACTAGATAGATTTACTATGGATACACATCCTGAATTGTTGAGTCTGACTCTTCTGAGGTATTGCTCAAAAACCCTTCCAATGAGAGTGATATTGTACAGAAGAGACACAATCTACCAGTCACATTTGACCTTCTTATCAAAGAGGAAGAATTCCATGATACCACCAAATTGAACATAGGTTATCTGGGTGGTACTAGTAGGAATCTGAAAGTATGCAGTGGTTGATCCAAGCTTGAACAAACTTCTTTTGAGATGTTTTGGTTACTTCTAACGACTACAAAGCAACCAAAATTCAAAGCAGAAAAGTTTTGGGGCAGAGCATATAAGAGAAATTCTATTAGTGAAGGATCTACCAGCACTTTTGTCACACATGATTTTTTGGTAGAGTATGAAAAAGAAACCATAAAACATGCAAATCTCAGACTCAATGTACACATAAAGGAGATTTTTGTTCATTTTTGCAGTGATATCTCATCCAGTTCAAGTGAAGCTTTGAATTTTTCATGTCTGATTCTTTCTATTTCCCAGCTATAGACAAAAAAGGTGCTTGAAGTTCTTGAAGTTCCTGAAGCGCCTGATAAAAGGCCATTTGATTGCAAGTGCAAAAAAAGACAACACACAGGAGGAGGAGCAGTTCTTTGAGCCAGAGTGACAGTCACCCTCAGGCCTTGAAGTTACACTTGCACCCGCTACCCTTCTCAGTCTCCTGGCAGGAAGTGGTCCAGATTGTAGCACAATGTTGTTTCTGTTAGCTTGTTGAGGAGGAGGGCTTTCTAACTCTTCTGGAAAATTATAGTCATCTGAACGACTGGATCCCACTGATTCTTCTTCACTTTCCGGTGAGGGTGGACATACACATATTTCTGAAGGAGATTCTTGGGCTTCAAACTTTTCACCTGATTTCTGTGGTTCTATCATCTGATTGCATGTATCCGGGGATTTCACAGGTCTTAGACCGCCAGATGGAGTTGATTCCATAGCATCTTGAATACCTTGTACAGGGGCATCTACCCAGATTGACATGTCAGCCAAGGTTTGTGGCACTAGCCCAAGTAGCAACCCAGCTACCAACTGATGATATTGCATTTTGAACCAGCCTACAAGTTACAGATGTTAGAAATTGTTGGAGTTCTAGCTTTTTGAAATCATGCAATGGTGTATCTGTGAGATGGACTGTAAAGAAAAAGAGAAATAATGGGCAACTGACTCCGACTGTCTTACTTGATAAGAGAATGAACCTTTTTATATGGTATCTGGTAGTTGTGCTGGTCAAGTGTTTGCTTCCAGAAATCCAAAACTACAAACCAAGATGGTAACCCATGTGAGCCATATCATTATGTGAGATGATGATTCCCCAAAAGAGGCAAATTACCAATTCAGCTGACCGTGATAGTTGATGCAAGAAGACCTCTGGATCATAAGAAAAAGGGCGGGAGAAGAGAGCGAGGGAAGAAACAAAGCTGGCGCGAAGATTCCTGGTGCAGGTAGCTCAAGAGATTCCTACGATTTATTAGGAAACTCAGCTCTGATAGCTGTGATTGAAGAAAAGACGATAGGTGATATTCATTGGCTCATGGATCGCTTTATACCTTCCGCATGAACCATCGTCATCTTGATGTACAAGTCTGGGAACATGTCATAACACAGCCACTCGCGTTTTTTGAATGAGGGTGACCAATGATGATCTAGTTTCGAGCCTTGAACTTGCCTACTGATCCCAGCTGCCGTTTTCTGTTGACACATCTGATATTTACTGCGTTGGCACCGCGTAGCACACCTGTCGTAGCATGGCCTTCTTGATAGGATATCAGCTTTTCGCGTTTCTATCGCTGCGCATCAAAGGAGGTGTAACTCAAACATATCATTTCACTTGACTTATCATGGTTTTCTTCTTGAATTCGCGTAGTGTGTGTTCCATAACTTCCGCGTATTCCTGACGGGAGGCATTGCTATGATAAGGAGATGGCTATATTGACTTGCCACACTTCATACGAGTTACTGTAAAACTCAGAACGTGGTATCACGCATTCAAACAGATAGGCTTACGTTCATCATATATCAGAAGTTGGAGAAAAATAAAATAGTTTTGAAGTTAAAATTGCCTTCAAAAGTTGAAACATTAAGATAAACTTCATTTCATGGTCTGACAACAAAGCAAGTTGTTATGAGGGATACGAAAAAACATTTTTGTATCAGGATGGAATTGGTGGTTTTCCATAATCTTTACATGAAAGAGTACCCAACAGGATGAGATATAGATGAATGAAAATGAGCTTGAAGAGAGTTTTTGATGATCTTTCAGAAATCTCAAGCCTCAGTCTACGGAAGCCAACTGAACGAGGGAATACAAGTCCAAACCTCTTCAAATGATGATCTGGCTAAAATGGCACAAGAAGGTAAAGCTGGAGTTCACCTCATCTCTTTCAAATGTAAAGGCTTGCAAATTTGTCTTGCTGGTGAAGAATAATTTATGTACTTGTACCACAGAAATGTCATAACCATCTGGAGGTAACCTAAGCATGCAAAATGTAGATTCCATCCGGATTTAAATCTCTTTATTTTGTTTGTTGTTCTTCTGTGTTCTTTATAAAGTAAAGTCTTGAGTTTTCCTTTTATCATGTTCTCTCTCCAGCTGGATTATGTGCTGTGTTGGCAGTGGGTATACAGTGGCTCTCCCTGATCTAGCACATGAATTGGTTAACCCCCGCGCTTGATTGGATTCCTGTGAGATCTTCTGTCAAACAGCCTGGTTTAAATTGCTTTGAATGGATGAGGTGAGTCAGGGTGAGTAGGGGTGAGTCTTGGATGGATGAAGATATTTTTTTCTGGTGGTTGATACAAAGTTACAGACTTCAACTGAGTTGAGAATGAGTCACATTTGAAGTTCGAGATTTCACAGTCCGATTGTTTGGTCCTGAGCAGTTTTGTAACTTGTTCACTTTTTTGAATTTGGGTGTTTCTCTCTCACACTTTGTCACTTTTACCTTCTTTCCTTTCTTTACCATCAAAAATGCGAACACGTCGATCGACCGAGTTCGTTTACTCCTCTCCGAATCACCTTCCATCATCCGGTTCACTTTCTCGACGATTTCCACGTCCACCGCCAATCACAGGTGATCCAGATTGGAATCAAGGTCGTCAATATGGCATTGTCATCGATGCAGGAAGTTCAGGAAGTCGAGTTCAAATTTATAGCTGGCGTTCTCACGAGTTAGAAGTTCAACTTCGCAAATCTGCATCTCAACCGTTGAACGTCTTACCTCGAGTCGAGACCGGTAGGGGCGATGGTCCTTTATGGTATCACAAGGTCGAGCCAGGTAAGGCGAATGTAATCGTACTCACTGGGTGATCATCAACGATAATGTAAAGAAATCATCATGACAAGCAACCCGATTTCCTCGATATCTTTTCTCAACCCTATGGCAATCTTTGAACCTGTCCATTAGGTCTAATCAAATCTTCTATTTCCCCTTCTCAAGGTATCTCGTCTTTCGGTTCGCACCCTCATGACGTGGGGGATTATCTCAAACCGCTTCTCGATCATGCTCTCACCGTCATACCCGCCTCCAGCGTTTCGACTACTCCGTTCTATCTTCTTGCCACAGCCGGTATGCGCTTGGTGCCCGAAGTTCAACGTCAAGCTATCCTCCAAAACGCATGTCAATATGTCATGTCAAACTATCGCTTCGTTATCCGGGATTGCGCGACCGATGTACGAGTGATTACGGGCGAAGAAGAAGGCGAATTCGGTTGGATTGCAGTCAATTATCTTATGGACGGATTTGACGCACACGATGGCAAGCAAAAGGCTTCTACATTTGGATTCCTTGATATGGGTGGTGCTAGTACTCAGATCGCCTTTGAACCAACTCACAATGAGCGTAAGGCTCACCCTGAAGCTCTTTCAAAGTTACGCTTACGATTATTAAATGGGGAAGACGTCATTCACTCAGTGTTCGTCACAACTTGGCTTGGATACGGAACGAATCAGGCCCGGGCACGATATTCACAGCGGCTCTTAGATCAACACGGAGTTGGAAATCAAACCCTCAAATCTACATCTCCTTCTACCGGTGAAATCATCAAGATATTCGACCCTTGCTTACCTTCGTCACTCACAATTCCCTCCTCAATCGAAAGCCACCAATTTGAAGGTACTGGGGATTTCAAATCATGTATCAAAAATCTTTCCCCTTTACTCAATAAGGATGCCCCATGTGCAGAGGCACCCTGTCTATTTGATGGAAAACATGTACCTCCAATCGATTTCTCAGTCAATCATTTCATTGGTATATCTGAATACTGGTATTCTACTCAAGAGGTTTGGTCTCTGGGAGGAGTTTATGACTTTGTCGAGTTTGAAAAACATGCTATTGATTATTGCAAGCGTAATTGGGATGAAATTGTTCGAGATCATAAATCTGGTACTAGATGGCCGACTACAGTTGAAATTTCTCGACTTCAAAGTCAATGTTTTAAAGCAGCATGGATCATCAACATCTTACATGAAGGTATAGGTATCCCTCGGATCATCGATAAAGGTGGTTCTGGTGATCACGCTGGGCATGCTAGTGATCGCATAGAGAAAGCTGCTGCCAAGGGTTTGGATTCTAGACCGCCAAGCTTTCAAAGTCTCAACGATGTGGGCGATGTACTTGTTAGTTGGACGCTAGGAAAAATGGTACTCGAAGTGTCGCAGAGCGCTCCTACTCCTCTTCGTTCTATCCCACTGAAACCGAGCGCATCTGTTGTTGGGCCTTATGTGGAAGGAGCTCGAGGCGTTCATTCTGCCCAAATCACTGGGTTAGAGTCTCAACTTAGTCATGCGGTTTCTTTAGTCGATCCAATGGCACTTGTCGGAGCTGGGGTGATTGGAATTTGCCTTTGGTTTTTTTGCCTCAGCTCAAGAGCAAGTTATAATCGACGATGTTGGCGACGAAATGAACATTCTGGGGGGTACATGCTTGCATCAATAGAAGAGGGTGGGAATAGGGATAATCTGGAAGGAATAGGATCCACTTCATTATCAAGGCCTGCCTCACCTCGACCACCGATGTGGCGTAATTCACCTTCGACTGTCCGAACTCAGTCGTATCGAAATCATCAGTCATCTGGTACTGGCGGTTCACTTTCTCCAATTCGATTTGCTTACAAAGTCGCTTCAATAATTATCAATCAAGGACGATCATGGTTAGAGCGTCCCTCAAGATCACCATCACCGCCTTCGAATTATTTTCCAACTAGTGATATAGGATTTGATTTACAACCAGCCCCACACTCCGCAATTCCACCTTCTTCTATCACTACTTCACTTGCTTCAGTCAATCACGCCAATTTCTCCAATGCAAATGAATCTTCACGACCAGGTTCAGATGATGAACATCCAATGATTGGTACAACGAAATTTAACTCGGAGCGATTAGCATTAGCAACCCTACGTTCTCATAGTGCATTACCAGATGATCGACCTAAACAAAGACTAGCCCATTCAAACTCTTTCAACACCCTTACAGATTCCACCAATGAACTTGGTCTACCACAACCGAATCCAAGAATCTTTAGAAGAGAATTAAGTATTACAACTGAAACTAAATCACGTAGGGGAAGTGAAGATGGTGGAAGTGGTTTAGAGAATAGTAGATTACAACCACCTAGGATGAGAATTTCATCTTCTAGTTCTGAGAGAGTGATTGACCACAATGGTGGTTGTAGTGTTGAATGGACTACTACTACTGGGGTTGCGCTTTCACCTTCTCCTAGTCAAGTTAGCTTGAATGCTTTCTTTGCTAGAAAAGGACGTCATGATGATTAGAGTTAGCGTTTTTTTGTTTGTTTGCAATATGTTGTTTGTTTGATTTTGTGACTGTTTTGGTGGTTTCGTTCTCGTCGTTGAAGTTGAAGGGTTTTGTGATGAAAAATGATGTATGTATGTGATCTTCATTTTGATCAACTTGAATTTTTTTATTTGGTCTTGGGGATTCTGATTCTTGTTTTCATCTTCATGTGGTAAACTATTGGTTTTTCGATTGCAAAGGATTATCTATTAAGCATGATTTGTTTTTGTGGGTTCTTGAGTTATTAGACATGATAAGTACAAGTAATATGTATATGCATGAACACTTAGATTAAATGTTGCTTAGTCTTCCTTATTTATTTTTATCATATTTTATTTTATTTCAATTTACATAGATTTATTCAACTTTTCAGTTAGTTTTATATAAAGATTATTATATAAAGAGTCAAAATCGTTATCTGAGATTTGGACATTTCATCAATTCCTTTCTTGGATTGGTTTTAATTATTTTTATCTTCATTCTTCCTTTTTTTTAGATTTTTAACTTTGTTTTTTTGTTTCTGATTTTCATGAGATGATTCATCTGCTATCTTTGAATAAAATAAGAAGTGTTGCAACTTTAATGATCTTGACAAACAAAAAGACAGTTGATTGAGTTAGCAAACACATTTTTTCATGATTGGTTTTCTGTTTGTTGTTGATATGTTGGCAATTTGTGATTACAATAGCTGTCACTACTATCATGAAATAGTTCCTCTGCCGGAAAGAAGATTACATTTAATGCATCAAACAATCAATAATGCTGGTTAATGCTGATTTAATACTGAGATGATGCATTTTCAATCATGTGTTGCGCTCAATGTAATGTGTTGCTCTGAATGTAATAAATTTTCTCATGTGAAAATTATTTTATGTTGTCAGTGGAAAAAAAGATGATCCATGGGAAGACAAACTTAACAAAGTCCCACTTGTTTTGAGCTGTACTGGCCATCAAACGAGGGACTTACACATAATGTCCAAAAAATGGTGTGAGATTTGTTGGAGCTTTTTACCAAAATCTACTTGCCTTATGAAACTTTTTTTTACCATTCTAACCTTTCCTGGGCCAAAAATGAAAAACATGTGCCTTGCTTTTGGAAGGCTTTCAGAATACTGATAGCTTGATTGGTTCTGCAAATAGATAGGAAAGCTGGTATTTCAAGTCTACACCAAAGTTCAAATTTCAGACCAGGAAAAATTACTCAATTTTTGGCTTCAAGCTGTGAAACACTTATATAAATATCTACACAACCACTCACACTGATAAGAAGCCAAGAGTACCAGGTTACAGAGAATTTCAAGAGGTATAGTGCTTATCCCTGAAAACAAGGAAATCGAATCAGATCTCCAAAACCTATCCCCTCCGCCAAAACTCACCTTTTTTGAATTCCAAAAGTCGCTTTGGTATTGTGAAATTGAGGACTACGTGTCCATAGCTTTTTGGAACAACCCATAGTTTTTTTTGCTTTTCAAATACCAATCTTTAGAGCACAACCCTGTTCTACATTTCCTTATTTTCAGCCATAAGCACTATACAATTTTTGTTATGGGGCTAGGGAAATTCAAAAATGCAAAAAAAAGTTTCATAAGGCAAGTAGATTTTGGGGAAAACCCCCAACAGATCTCAGACCGCTTTTTGGGTGTTACACTGACCAGTACAGATCAAAAGAAGTGGGACTTTGTTAAGTTTGATGGGAAGAGTGATCACATTTAATGCAGTCTCTGAGCCAAAACACAGAAATGATACATTTGTTGGAACAAACTATTACAACATGTGTTACTGAATTTCTCTTTGTTATATCTTTTGCTTTTATTGTTTACGCACTTATAATCAACTTACAGAATAATGTAGTTTGCCCAGGGTTCTTACTCACAACCTTTTGTCTAGTCTGACCTGACCACCAATTGTACTGCCTGAGGTAGATTATCAAATTCCTGATCTGAGAAAGTTCCTATTTTGTTCATTCATTATTAACTTCCTCAACTCACAACACTCCATCATCACATATCTCTCCGGATCAAACATTCTCCTTATAGACTATTTTACTGACCTTGTGTTGTTCTTGATCTGATCAGGGATCTGAGATCCCTTTAACATTTTGGCTCATCAACTGTGTCAAAAACAATGGGTTTTCCCACAGGAAAATTGCCTCTTGTTTCCTGTGTCAATTGCAGAAATATTTGCAGAGCAAACATTCTTACATATTGACAAAGACAAAACATACATTTGTACCATTAAAAATTAAAAATTAAAAAACCCTTACATCTCTATCACTCAAGTTTCAAGAGTGTAACAATTTAAAGATGAAAATAGAATCCAAGAATTGATAAACTGGCTTGGATAGTTACCAACAATCCGGCTTGACGTACAGGAATTGATTTACAGCTTAAACACTTGACGATTGATTTTGTAATAGCGGGAGCTTGAGACTGTAAACGCGGAAAGAGGTCCATTGACAGTTTCTCCTTCCAAAGAGTGGGCTCATTTTTGTTTAAGATCTCTTTCAGCAGGTTGGACATTAAACCAACGTGCAATTTAGTTTGTTTCACCAATTGAGTAGCCCAAACTTCTGATTTGACACTCTCTTCACGTTCATTGAACCGAGAGAACCGGCGAGATCGACTTGCAGAATTCTTGTATGATTCAAATCCAGTGACAATCAAAGTCAAAAAAAGCTTGGTAGCAGCTCTCCGAACTTTCCAAGATACGACATCGTCATCAGAATACCTGAAGATGTATAATTCTTCATCAGTCGCGTTGCTATGTGGAAAATCAATGGATTGAGATAATTGGAAACAAACTCATCTCCAAACTCTTCATTGTCATATTCTTCTTTGCCGTCTGCACCTGCATAGTACATGTCCATATCATCAGGGTTCTCCGCTGCGTAATTCTGATAGTTCAAATTGGACACAAATCATCCAAGTCATAGCCAAACTCACTGGATCGTGCTTGATGGCTTGAGCTGCTAGATCAATCACCACGGGAATGAAGCTTGTCATTTGACTTGGTAATCTGAGGAGAAGTGATTCTGATGTTTGCAAGCAAGTTTTGGTTGAGCCATCATCTTTTTTATTTTGACCATTGATAATCAGTGGTACTATGTTAGAAATTGTCTGGGACAATCTAGCAGCTGAGGTTTTTGCCAAGACTTTTACAACAACCAGCCAGTGATCCAAAAGCTATAACACTTGGCTTAGTGACAGCCGGCCGTGAGTTGGCGATCAGAGGTTCAAGAACTTTGATACATTGAAGTTGGACTGCAGGATAGGCGTGATTATAAGTATCAAATCAAACCAAAAGATTGGAAAGACTATCCAAATTGGCAGAAAGGATATTGGGAGTAGAGTTGGGATCTTGTAATTGGACCATCAGTCTAGGAATCAATCTTGGACATAGCGTCGGGGCCAACTTTGAGCCGGATGGACGGAGGAAATCAATTTTTTTCTCGAAAAAGCTCAAATGCTTGATATTTGTGGGATACAAAGTTAAAACTGGGATTTTTTTCCCAGTTTCCCGGTTTTTGTTTTTAGCTGTGTTTGGAACTTTCCCGCGTTCTCCCAGTTTCCCAAATACCGCCCCAGTTTTAACTTTGTATCCCCTAATTGTCGCATCTTGCTTGGCATCTCCCTCATACTAGCCAATTCCAAGCTGTGGGAGTTGTTGAGGCGCGACAGAAGACCAGGGCATTTCACAAAGGCCGGCAAGTTGAGCCCAGATCCCAGAGAGAGCAGTCCAAGCTGCTTTGAGGGCCAAGATCTCTTTGGCCACCTGTTCAAGTCGTTCATTGGAAGTACATATGCATGATATCAAGTTCTCCTTTGGATCGACAAACTTGACTATGCTGATCTTTTAACCAATTCATCCAAATCTTGAATTGGTTGATAGCGTTCATGGCAACATCTGTTACCCAAAAGTCGAACAAGTCTTTGGAGCCTTGGAGGGGGCCTGTCACCAAGCCAATAATCAAGATCAGAATGTGATGATTTATTTACAGAAGGAGCGGACAAAAGTTGCCACTCACCTATCAACGAGACCTTAAGGATTCAAATAATTGTTCTAGATCTGATACTGCTTCAGCTTGATTGTTTGGTTTGGTAGATTCTTGTCGATTAGGTTTTCATGGTGACGAAAATGATTTCGTATGGTGCGTTTGTGAACTTTGGTTTGATGATTTGATTTGTAAGTATGATGATCTTCAGTAAGAAAATAATTCGAATTTGACCACATTGTTCCACCAATCCATCATGCAAAGGAATCAATCGTGCAATATCAATTGGATGAGATCCAAGAGAGTTGTTCAGTTTAAGTAAAATCAGCCGACATGTTGGTGTGCAGACGTCGGCAGAGAGTGGGAGGACTTGCCCTCCACATAATATCAAGCAGTTGCGGATGTTTGATAAGTTTGATTTGGTGATTGATTTGTAAGTTTGGTTATTAGCACCAAAAGACAGACTAGGAATTGCACCTGGTAATTAAAAACAATGTGGCACAGGCTGGAGGCTGGCCCAGGCACGTCATCATTTGTCTACAAACAAGGCGCTGCAGCCATTTTCTCGCTGTGTGCACATGGACAGACATGGGCATGCACACTATCAAAATTCTGTCCCAATTCCATCACAGAATTTTGATTTTTTTTTGAGCTTCAAAATTCCGTCCAAATTCTGTCACGGTATTTTGGTTATTTCGGCAATCAAAATTCTGGAAAAAGAAAATCAAAATTCCTCACGGAATTGCAAAATATGTTTGAAGTGTGAATTAAAAGTGACACGTTTCTGAGCGGCTCCAAAAGCCGTAATCACGTGGTGCGATTGACCCCCTGGTGTAGTCGTAGCGGTAGCCCTGCTACAGAATAAAGGGTTTCGCGGTGGTCAAGATATCCATCGTGGACGCACGCCGATATTCTAGCCGCATGTTTTGTACATGTGAAATAACGGATACACCAATTTGCAAATACATTTGCATTTACAAATTGGTGTATCCGTTTATCGGTGTATTCTCACGTGCATACCCGACTCACGAGCTCGGGTGTTTACCCGAGCTGAGGCAGGAACTCTCCAAGCATCCGTATGATAACGGATGTCGGAAAGTATCGCTCGCCTGAAGATGCAGTTAGTGTATCACATTCAGTTGCGCGGGCGCGAAGATTGAGTGACAAACTTGTGGTATTTCATGATAACAAAAGATTTACGAGCACATGACGGTACGATTGAGGAGATAAATGAACAATAAATTGTACTTTACTAGTTGTTAACGAAATGGGACTTGGTGGTTTGGTTGTGTTTTGTGAAATGGGGATATCTGATTAATGGTGACTTGAGTACGACTAGATGGAAAATGATGTGAATAGGGAAAGAGTGTATGAATTTTACCGTTTTGTAGCGCAGGTGGTGTCGAAAGGTGATCATATGATGGAATGTGCCTTAAATTCACCAACAGTTTTGTTTCTTCTGCTTACCCTTGTTATACAAGTCGCGGAGCATGCGATAAGACGCCGTTATGCTCTGTTCAACCGCATGGAGCTCGGTGGCAGTGTGTAAACCGCGCAGCCTAGCCTTCTTGTCAGCCGTGTCAAAAGCGAGAATACCGTGTGCGGATTGGAACAAGTTCTTGATAGACAGGTCTTTTTTGAAGGCTTCTAACTCAGTATGACTTTGCGCCAGAGGAGCTGGCGTCTGAGTGAGGTGACCGGATGAGGGGCCAGGTTGAGCCGGCTCGACGGCGGAGTATGTTGCCTCACCGGGGGCCGGAGAACTGTGTATTCCATGCCATGAAGGGTAAGAAGAATGAGACGCTTCGTCGGTTACATAACTGGCGTCGGAAAAGTAAACACGTAAGTTAGTGATGGTGCAGCAACGTTAAGGTTTTGATACTCACGGATAGGGATCTTTGCGATTGGCACCGTTGGGTAGATTGTTGCTCATCCTGAATGGCAACGGTACGTTGAGTCGCGTTGCGTCGGATGCCGAGGGAGTCATGTGATTTGGTAAATTGCCACCGTTCTCCAAGGGGGGTTGGAAACCGCCGTATCCGAGTTGTACGCCAATTGAGGTGTGGTTTGGTGTCGGGGGTATGATTGATGGGTTGTACGAAGTCATAATTGGTTGGCCGGCTGGAGGGTGAGGTCGCTCGTGATCGCGCATGAGATTGGAAAGTTGGGAAAGCGTGCAGAAGTCAGGCGATGCAGCGAAGTGTAGGCCTTTAGACTGTGCCGATTGCTGCAAAGCGGTGCGATGTGGTGACCTCATGATCACATCTCCGTGTTCGGAATTGTTGGTGTAGAGTGTGGGTTGCATTTGGTTGGAATTGTGATGGACTGTAGCATGCGGATTGACAGTGTTGAAAGGTTCGCCTAAAAATGGGAAGTTGGGTAAAGGGGGTGGGGCTGGCGGGAAATGTGTGGGTGGCCCTGATACACCGGGCAAAGGAGCGGCATTTGTTGGTAAAGCTACGTTAATTGGGGGCTCCTTACATAAGTAGTAGGTGTAGCTGTAAGATGGTGATTGAGGAGGCGGATTACGGGGCAATTCAGGGGGTAAAGTACTTGCGAGCGACGAAAAGTTGGCCGGGGGAACTTGTGAGTGTTGGGGTAACGATGGGGGAGATGAATAGAATTTGTAATATGGGGTGGATTGCTGTTGAGGACCAGAGTGGGGTCCTCTTGATAAAGTTGGGAACGGTGCGGCAGGGTTGGTCATAACGAAAGGATTGGGAGGTGTAGAGTGTACATAGTATGGGTTGTGAGTAAGTTGGCGAGGATCACGGAAATTGGGTAGCGCTAGTCGAATTCGGGGAGGAGTTGGAAAATGGGAGGGACCAGGTGTTGGGTGCGGAGTTTGGATGCCGTGCATAGGAACCTGTACGTTGTGTTGGGAGGTGTTGGCGGAAGGGGCTCGCAACATTTGGCTGGGGGAGCTTTGAGTTTCGTAAACGGAGGTTGAAGATGCGGAATGGACAGAGTGTGACAATGTCGACACTTCCAGATGAGGAGAGACAGCTGATCCGAGTTCCTCGTCGGCTGGCTCAATAGCTTGTTTCGGGTACATGGGAGATGTGCCGTCGTCAATTGAAGCCAGAGCTTCCTCGCGGATGCTGAGACCTTCCTGACGTGCTGAAACATACATATGTTTGCATGCGGAGTTGGTCCCGGCGAAATGGGGGTAAGTACAATTGTTCACGGACCCAACTCTGCCGTCAGCACAGGGTGTAGTGTTCAACTTGTAACGGATGCGGGGGCGAGTGAAGGACCCTATAGTATACTGAGACGGCGTAAGTTAGAAAAGGCCGACGAAAAGCGAGTGAAATAGGCTTACTTGGTTATTGCCCACCAGCGACATCATACAGAGAATATTGTCGAGGTCTTCGTCGGTATACAAATTGGCAAGGCCTTTCGCGATGTTCTGGAATTTATTGCAGCGGTGTGCGCGGAACCCTAGTGTTGTAGTGAGTAGGATTTGACGATAGTCAGGTTCTACGTCTTCAGTTAAGATGTGAATCAGCTCGTTGGGTTGGCAAAGTTTAAGGCGATCTAGAAAATTGTGTTTGAGAACGTGGTGGTACAATTCATTATAATTATTGGTGTGAATTCCTTGAGTAGGTACGTCACATTCAGATAGCATGCCGTAAGGTGCGTTCCAAACCCATTGTTTCTCGAAGTACTGGACGAAGGCGGGGTACATATGACTGTTGCGTCGCTTGAAGTCTTGCCAGGCATCCTTCCAGTGTTTGGCGTAAATCACGGACATCGCTTCCTGATAGAGCTGCATAGCAGGCACCTCCGGGGCCTAAAGGAAAGTATCAGCGAAGGTTGGACAACGGAGTTGCTCTGACTTACGCTTAGGCGTGCTTGGGCTTGGATGGCACAAGAAATGGGGTAGGTGCACCAATAGTGCTTAGGCAGTTTGCGTGAACCCGCGTAGGTAGCGGCGACGGCATTCTGGTAAGGAATGGCGCAGTCCGTCATGAAAGCCGTGGGTAAGACACCAAGACGACTACGCAGCCGCTGTGGTGATCAATTTATGGGATCAATTAAAAAATTCACAATTACCAGTTTACCAGTTTATTAGCAGGATTCAGCAGGAAAGAAAATTCGAAATGGAGGTTTTTGATCAATTGAAGCTCTTGTAGGCTTATGTATTGGTATTGGTCATTAGGTCAACATTACATCATTTTATTTCACATTATATATTAAGATCATTATAGTTTACTTACAAATTTATTACAGAAAAACATAAGAAAAATTCGAAATTATAGGTATAAAGGTTGGAAAATGGTTTTTAGGTTAGTAAAAATAAAGTTATGGGTATTATGAGGTTAGAATATGAAAGAACAACATTATATGATACTATGACAATTTTAATCTTCAAGGTTGATAAGTAGAAACAGAAGTTATTAGGAAAAAAGCACTTTTTCGAAGTTGGTAAACAAGAGGTACACGTGTAGTTTGGTTGTGTAATAGTGGTAGTGATGGAATTTAAGGTTGCCAAGAGGATTTTCCGGGATTTTTAAGGCTATAGATGATGATGTCATATTACATGAGCAAGAAAGGCTTAGTAGTAGCTGTGAAAAGTGAAGAAAATGGGTGAAATTCGTGGAAAATGGAGGTTTTCAGCTAATTACATATGTCAAATGACGTCAGAATAGGTTGGTAGATGGCTCATTCAACGCAGAAGAGTGGATTACATAATGTACAAACTTTAAATCATTAGTAACGGAGGTGTGTGTAAAAAGTTATAAGGCAAATAAAGAATTGGTGTGAATCTCGAATTTACAGTCACAAGTCATATGTAACACTAAAAACCTTAACTTCACAACTCAATATCTTACTCATCACTCATCATAAGTAGGTCATGTAGGTGTCAGAGATGATCAGTAACACGTGGACTACAAGATGCACTTTAGTAATCAAAAATTGGAGCACATCTGAAAAAATTCGTAATCTCAAAAATTGGTTTTCAGCTAGTTTACAAGGAAAAAATCACCTGTATTCATCATAAGAAGTGCTGTACATCATATTATTGCGTCATTGATCACTTTTAGCTGTGAAAATTACATCATTTATTAGTAACAAAACCATTACATTGCGTCATCATAGGGTTTTTAGGGAATTTTGGGCGGATTTGATTGGTTTTGAGGCTGTTGACCATTGTAAAAGTTCTAGTACATTGTTATATATACTTTGAGAGGGTTTTGGGACTGTTGTTCCCCTTTTTTTTCTTTATCATTTACGCCATTATTATTTTGTTTATCATCATAAACTTATTTTAATAGTACCTGTTCACTTAAATACGCCCTTTATTACAGTTATAAAGAGAAATTTACTTTAGTTTTATAGTCATAAAGACTTATTGGGAATAATATCAATCAGATATTGCTTATTTTTTTTCAGTTATCAATTGGGAATAACACTATAGCAGTGTTGATAGTAATACAAAGTGTGCTTTTGAAGTTAAAATTACGTGTGAAGTTATATTTCTCTGGTGCCTTATCAGTACTCAATACAACAGAGCTCTTTCTGATTGTGTCGTTTTAGAAGAGCAGTCCTTAGACAACTTCTACTAGTCCTTTTATTAGTAGATTATCCTCTT